CAGCATTGTGAATTTTGCAAAGGTTGCCACTTAGACCATATTTTCATAATTTCCAAAAATGCCTATTTACCCAAAATAGCCTGCATAAGAAAATCAGAATGTGATATTGCTTTGTTTAGAATTCTATCAACACTGGTTTTCTACTGTTCATCAGACACTGGATATACTACCAATCTGCAGTCTTCAGGCTGGTATGGACAGTTCCAGAAAGCTGCTTTCCAGATTTTCACACTGTTAACTTTGGGTAGCCTAGGAAGCTTCTTCATTGCTAGTTTCAGCCATTCATCGCATCAGCAAAAGGAAAATAACACCAATTTCTCTGCCTACCTCCAGGGAATGAGACCTACAGAGATGTCCAGGCGTGTTGGTGCTGCTGCTATTGCAGCCTACTAAGGGACCCTGAGGGTTTTCAGTGCAGAACAAGGCAAGGATAGCACTGGCACCTTGGGCATTTACTCGTCAGTAAGAGCTACTGCTGAGGTTCTTACCAATTTTGAATTGAAATGATTCACTGGCCTAATTATTGCTTTAAAAGCCTTTGAAGTTGTTCCCTGTCAAAAATACAGCACAAAAAAATATGATTTTGAAATCATTTTCATTTTCACATTGGGAACTTTGAATAGGAGAACAATCAACTTGGGATTGCAGAGCTTAGCGTGGCTCTCAGTCTTGCACAAGTCACTTGGGCCACTTTGAAGGATACTGAAACCAGGATGAGACTCCAGAGAAATGACATCAGAATCCCTGGCAGGGGATGTCTTACACCTAGATTTCCTTAAAGCTCGTGGATGATTCCAACCTACAGAAAAATCCCAAAATCTGGCATAATCAACACCTTCTGACATCAACATGAGAATTTCCAGAATGACTGAAATCTGAAGACTGTCCCCACTGAGGGGTTGAATTTAGACTGTGAAAGAATTGTAACAACCACTCTTCAGGAATTCTAGGATGACACTGAGTGGCCATCCCACATCCTCAGGTATTGGTGTGGTCAGGCTGCTAGGAGTGGCACTCTCCCCCTTACTCCTCCCTTTCCCCAGATAAAGGAAGAATAAAAAGGAAGACTGGAAGCAGTTATCACATCTATTTTTCCCATTCCTTGACCCTTCCCAACCTAATCGGTGGTCCACATGGACATGCATCCTTCTCAATCAAGTAAACATCATAACAAATAATACAAATCTACTATGATAAATGACATAAATAATCACTTGAGCCCCTTTATCACAAGGACAAAAGAAAATGTATTTTTCAAGGCTAATTCTAGCCAAGGGACAGCCACCTCACAGAAATCTACACAAAGGGTTGGAGCACTAGTACATGCTGTACCAGGACACATGGGGTTCAGATGTAGATTAATGCTGGTGATATAAGCTGAGGAGAAAGGCCATGAAAGCCAGCCAGCTATAGTTTACTGAGTACTTACTATTGGACAGTAGGTACGATGTAGAGAGAAAAGATGTCATATGCCATTCTTATCCTCAAGAACCTAAATAGATATTTCTATATATCAGAAAAAAAAATAAAACCAGGAAGAAGATCATAATCCAGGATATAATGAAGGCCTTCAAAAATTTCAGGTTGGAGCACAGCAGGTAAAGCCAGTGCCTATGATACTGGCATCCTCACTGGCTACTCCACTTCTGATCCAGCTGCCCACCAATGGCCTGGAAAAAGCAATGGAAGATGGCACAAATATTTGGACCCTTGCCACCCATTTGGGAGACCCAGATGAAGCTCCCGGCCCTGACCATCATGGCCATCTGGGGAGTGAATCAGAAAGGGAAGTTCTATTTCTCCCTCTCTCTGTGACTCTTACAAATAAATCTTTAAAAAAAATCAAGGTGGAATGTCCAGACATTACAAATGTCTAATGTATATTAATTTTGGAACAAGCTTAAAAGTTATAGATACCATTTAAATAGGGAAACAAAAGCTGAAGTTAAAAAATCCCTAAGCCCCCTCTGCTATGTGGGAGGCCTCCATCTTGTTTTGGGGCCTCCATTTCAGAGGTGTAGGAAAGGGATCTTAAAGGCAACCTTTGTTATATCTGCTCTAACATGTCCTTTCGTTAATTCAATGTATTTCGAATAAATGCACAATATTTGCTTTCCCTCTTTCCTGCTATCAAGAGGGCATCTAGGTTGGGAATGAGGTGCTAATGCCTTTCAGAAGACAGAGGGAAAGGGGGCATGTGTGTGTAAGCTCACCTAGTTTTGCAATGGCTTGTCTAGAAAGCCTGTCTACCCTGCAGGGTTCTTGGAGGCTGTGCCCAGTGGATCCCATGTTCTATTGTATGAGAATCTGACCCAGACCTGGGGGTCTCTTTCTCTTGCTTCTGTAGCTTCCTCTTCACTCTCCATTGAATGTCTGTCATATTCTTTTCAACTGGTCCCTGGTCTTTGCAGCTCTGTCTTCACCCCTGGCTCTCAACAGCCACCTAGCACTAGGAAGGTGAGGGCAGTTCAGACTCCCTTCCCTGCCATGTGAGACAGACTTGGAGGGGGCACCCTGCCTCTGGCCTTCTCTGCCCAAACAGTTTTACCATTTCTCATCTCCACAATTGCCCTGTTGGCACACAGGCTCCCTGTGAAGGGAAGATCCTACCAAGGCTTCCAAGTGGAAAGTAGGGCACAATGTTCTTGCTTTCAGTCCCCCCATAACCCTATCTAGAATAAAACAACTCATTCCCACTTCCATCTGCAGGAAGAGTCAGGACCCACCAGTAGCATCCTCATGCTTCTAGATGATGAGTAGGATTTGGGAGGGCTGGGAGATGAGCTGGGTATCAGATCAAAATTTTGCTAAGTATTTAGAACATCATTTCTATGGGCAAATGATTGAAAGGAAAGAAACAGGCAGAGCTGTTTGATGTTGGAGGACAAAGTCAAACCAGATAGGTTTTCTACCTCTCAGTTACTGCCTGCAGCTCTAAGGCCTTCTGCACAAGGAAGAACAAAGACTCAAATGAGTACGAGAGGGGAAGAGGAAACGGGGCAGTGAGCCCTGGAACAGGGCAATTAGAAAGGGACTTGTCACTAAACATGCCTGCAGCACAGAAATATCTAGACCCAGCCCAGAGGGAGAGTAAGTTGGGGATTATAGCTCATGAGCTCATCAAACTGGCTCAAATGTATAATTATTTCCAAATGGGGAAGACAATTCTGCAAGAATGAAATTATAACCATCTTCCACTATTATGTCATCTCACCCTCTGGAAAATAGAATGGTTGTGTCCAAATGGAGTCCTCCTACAAAGGCTAAAAGCACAGTGGGGGCTAAAAGCATTGGTTCAGCCCAGGAGAACAAGGGGCTGGAGCTACGGACAGTTATCTGCCAAGGACCATTTGGGCTCCTGGTAGACCAAGAATAACTCCCTCAAATGTCACCTAATGCTACAACTGAAAGCATTAAGGCCCAAGGATCATTTCTGTTGGCCAATGAACTAACAGAGTGTCAGGCCCACCTCTGGCTGCTGTCAAAAGCTTCTGCTTCCAGGCTGAACTAAGTAGGTCTGCAGTCTGCATCCCATAGAGCCAGGGAGGTGACTGCTCTCCAGCGGCTTACCCTGGTTCCTCCTCCACCTCATGCCCATACCTCAGTGACAGGCTCATTCTGTCCTCGGACACTTACTGAGTGAGGGTGCTGTGGATGGTCTGGAGTAGGGCTAGCATAGGTCACAGATGCCAAAAGAGGTCTCCCTAGCTGCATGGCTCTGGGCAGATGACTTCATTTCTTCGATGCTAGCTGCTTTGTTGTCAAAATAAGATGCAAAACACCCTCTATGGCTAGTTTGAGGGAAGATTAGATGAGATAAGGGAACATGGTTGAGAGTGGCAAGTGCCACTAGGAAGGGATGAAGAGATGGGGGAGCCCTGGGGAGAGACATGGGATTTTTCTGTGGCGTTCAGGGCTTTTCAGATGCAGGGATATTTGGCTGAACCTGGGAAGCTGAGCATATTTCCAAATGAGAATGTTGCCAGACAGTCAAGAGAAGGACTGCTTAAGTGTGATAGGGTAGGTAGAAAAGCCAATGAATTGATGAGCCAGTTATTGCTATGGGCAACTGGGGCACAATCCAACTGCTGCACTATGGGAGATGATGGAGAACAGGCCTTGGCATTCTCCTACCCAAGAACAAGGAAGCTGGCCCGGCTGGCACATTGCAACACCACTCCTGTCTCTTGCTGTTTCAGGGTGTTAACTCCCTGCACTTGTGGCTTATTCCACACATAGGTCATGCAGGCTTTCATGGGCACAGCTTATTCTCAGAGGTGTGACAGCCTTCCCCATGCACAGGGACTACCTGCAGGTGACCTTTGGGGGTAGGCCAAGGGGATATTAGGCAGGGCACCAATATCACCTGCTACTGGTGGCTAAGCATTTAGCAAGACTAATCCATAAATTTAGCCCAAGGTGATACACAGGTACTTGAAAAGGTTCATGGGGAAAAACAGTAAAAAGAAAAGCTTATTTGGGTGTTTTTGAAAAACTTTGAAATTTACATAGAGTTTCTTCATAATATGCATTTTCTAACGCCACCAGTAGCATTCTGGAGCTCATGTGTCACACCACGTCTCTCCAATTGGAGTGGCAATTCCCTGAAGCCAGACTTGATGTTTTTTCAGCAGCCAGTACTGCTGGGCACATAGCAGGAGCACTTCACTGAACAACTGTTCATCCAATGTCAAAGTAGCATGCTGATCCCTTTGGCCTTCATTGAAGACCATACTCAAAAAAATCGTGAACTGTCTCAAGCCCACGGTGGGCAGAGGGAGATAATGCCTGTCCCCTGGTGACCCAGTGATTTTCACAATTGTGGATTCTACCTTATCTTGTAATCTACACAGGCACAACACACTAGTACTGCAAAAAGGTCAAGAATGCCAAAAGGCATCATAGAGTAGAGGTTCAATATATTAAATCTTGAGCCAATGGCCTGAATAGGAAGCAAAATCTGCTGTCCCCTGCTGTTTGTCCCAAGGCAAGTTACTTACCTTCTCCATACCTCAATTTCTTTATCTGCCAAATAAACTAAAAATAGCACCCTTTCCAAAGGATTTGCTGAGTGACCTTTACATTGAGTTAGCCATTTATAAGAGCTTGGCATCCTAGCTAGCCCAGTGGTGAGTGCTACTGAAGTAACTGCTATGTAACTTAAATAAGTACTCTCACTGGGAGTTCCAAGACATTATAATAAAGTCCTGCTCAGTGCTTTGGAGATGCCAAAACACCTCACTCAAAAAAAAAAAAAAAAAAAGCTTTGCCTTGAGGGAGCTGCTTTTTTTCTTTTTGAACAGGGGAGTGCTTCAAAAAGTTCAAGAGAATTAAAAGGTAAACTTATTTTAGTGAAAAGAAAAAATAACATTTCTGGAAATTCATATGCAGTGTTTTCTTAAGATGCATTTCCCATGATGTTTTTGAAGCTCGGACCTTATGGCAGTTTCCTGATGGGAAGACAAGGAACTGGCAGCTCCAAGAAGCTAAGGGGCAAATCCAGATCACAGAATGAGTGGCAGAAGGCCTGAGGGAAGGGCACCTAGGTCACATCTTTCTACAGAGCAGTTTTCTACTCTGGTCTGCAGCCAATAGTACACTGTCAGCCAACTGTGGATGCTTGAGTATGTGTTAGCATCCCCAGCATTGCCACCACACTTTGCCAGGCCCTCCCCTTCCAAGTTCTTTCTCTACAACAGGCCCTAGAATCCGTGCTTCCAATAGGCTGTGTGCCTGTCTCTCTTTAAGAATCACTGCTCTGAGAAATCAGTTCCTCAGAGAGCTGTGATATTAGAAACACATTTCAGCCACCCTCTGTGACCACTCAACTTTCCCCTACTTACATTTATTTCCAAAGCATGCAGTTTTCTATTTAGTTGCTGCTATCTTCCTTTTAAATGATCCATTCTCAGGGGCAGCAGTGATAATGCCATTTGGGATGCCTGTATCCAAGTGCCCAGGTTTGCCTAGCTCCACTTCAGATTCTACTGTCCTGTTCATTTGTACCCTGGGAAGGCAACAGGTGATGACTCAAGGGCTTGGGTCTCTACCCATGCATGTGGGAAACCTGGATGGGGTCCCTGGCTCCTGGTTTCAGCCTGGCCAAGTCCTGCTTTTTGCAGGCATTTGGGGAGTAACCTGGAATATGAATTATCTTTCTCGGTCTTTTTGCCTTTAAAATAAAATTAGAAATATGATAATTTGGGGGACCAGCATGATAGCCTAGTTGCTAAATCCTCGTCTTGCATGCATGGGATCCCATATGGGCACTGGTTCATGTCCCAGCTATTCCACTTCCCATCCTTCTTCCTGCTTCTGGTCTGGGAAAGCAGTGGAGGACAGCCCAAAGCCTTGGGACCTTGCACCCATGTTGGAGACCCAAAGGAAGGTTCTAGCTCTTGGCTTCAGATTGCCTCAGCTCTGGCCATTGCAGCCACTTGGGGAGTGAACCAGCAGATGGAAGATCTGTCTTTCCTTTATTTGTAATTCTGCCTTTCCAATAAAAAGAATTTTTTAAAGATAATTCTAAAATTCAGATACAATTTGCCAGAAGGAATTATTTGTCAGAAGCAACATTGATTTGGGTGCATTTCCCCCCTCAGATTCCACTTTCTTCCCTTGCCCATCCCCAATAATGGAAAAGCAATGAAACTTTGACATTGAAGCTGTCACAGTCTGGGCCCCACAACTTTCCAAATAATCAGTCACTCACCAGTAAAGCGGGGACACTTGTTTTGTTGCCCTGCCAATTCCATGGTGATGTTTTAAGAATGCCTCAAGGGGATGACGTATGTGGGCCTAGCTTAACACGAATTCACATGGTCAGAGCAACAGAATCTGGTGCATGATGTTGTCTGTCCCTGTCCGTAGCTTCCACCAGCAGGTCCTTACACCATTCACAGCAGCATTAGCCTAGGAGCTCACAAGAGATGACAATCTGTGGATCCTACCCAGACAGACTAGACTACAGACTGGGGACGGAACACAGGCTTACGACTAGTGTCTCCCTTGCAGGTACGGTAGAGAAGATGAAAAGTAGGTCCATGCTAAACACACAGGGATATTGTTGTTTCTTTCTTTCTCTCTAACTGGGAAGGCTTCTTGACAATGTGTCCCTTTTCATAAGATTGTCACTTATGTATTAGCGTCCTGGTCATTTCCCATTCTGTGTGTGCGTGCATGTGTGTCTGTATGTTTCTACATGTGCTATCTGTGAGGAGATAACTTATTTTGCCCAGTGAAGATCCTGGAGCCTGCCACCCCCTTGAATAAGAGACATTTTTCTGTATGTCTTTGGTAATACCTTCTTCTTAAATGCCATATATTTTCTCTTCTCATTCCTAATGAGGCATTTTATATTTGTGTAGCACTATATTCTTTTGGTAAATAATGTTGCAAAAATGGCAGCAGAGGTATAAGATTTTTGACTGGTTTCCTCAGATATCTTTTCTCCTCCTTTCATAAGCTTCTAAACATCTTTTTCTGACAATACCATGCTATTTAATTTGAGTTTCAACTGCTTTTAAATTTTCATATTGTAGGGCCTTCAAGTGGATACTTTTAAAATCAAATACACAACGATTTTTGAAAAGGATGCCAAGCTCAGACAATCCCAACAAATTGTGCCAGGAAAACTGGAGACCCACAGGCAGAAGAACAAAGTAAGACCAGTGCCTTGCAGCACAAACAAATTAACTCTAGGGGCTGGTTTTGTGGCACAGCTATTCAACTACCGATGGTGACACCAGCATCCTTCATTTGGCTCTTAGCCATTCTATTTCCAATCCAGTTCCCTGCTAATATGCCTGGGAAAGAGGTGGAAGATGGCTAAGGTACCTGAGTCCCTGGTACCCATATGGGAGACCCAGGTAGAGTTCTTGGATTCTGGCTTCGGTCTTACCCAGTTCCAAGCCATTACAGTCACTTGGGAAGTGAACCAGCAGCTAGCTTGCACTCTCTTGTTCTCTAACTCTACCTTTGCAATATCTCTAAAAATTAACTCTAAATGGATCAAAGGACCTAAACAAAGGAGCTAAAATTGTAAGACTCTTAGAAGAAAACACAGGGTGAAGTCCTCATGATGCTGGGTTTGGCAACGATTTATTGGGTATGGCACAAAGCATAGGTAACAAAAGGAAAAAAAAAAACAAATAATAGGCTTCATTAAGACTACAAACTTGTGTGCATGACAGGAAATTATTTAAAAAATGAAAATATGCTTGTCCCACAGATTGAGCAAAAATACTTGCAAGCCATATCTGTGATAAGAAATTAATATCCAGAATATTATAAAAATTTCTCAGACTCAACAGCCACAAAAGGCAATGTAATTCGAAAATAGGCAAAAGGATTTGGTGCAGTAGCCTAGCAACTAAAGTCCTTGCCTTGCATGCACCAGGATTTCATATGGGTGCTGGTTCTAATCCCAGCAGCCCCACTTCCTATCCAGCTCCCTGCTTGTGGCCTAGGAAAGCAGTCCAGGACGGCCAAAAGCCTTGGGACCCTGCACCCGCGTTGGAGACCCAGAGGATGCTCCTGGCTTTGGATTGGCTCAGTGCTAGCCATTGTGGCCACTTGAGGAGTGAATCAACGGATGGAAGATCTTTCTTTCTGTCTTTCCTCATCTCTGTATATCTGAATTTCCAATAAAAATAAAATAAAAAATAGGCAAAAGACCTGAATAGCTATTTCACCAAAAAAGACAGATAAATGGCGAGTAAGGACATGAAAATACATTCAACATCACTAAACATTAAGGAACTATGAATCAAAACCATAATGAGATGCCACTTCAGAATCATCATAAAAACAACAGAAAATGATGTTTTGTCAGGGAGATGGAGAAACTAGAATCCTTGTGCCTTGTTTGTAGGGGTGTAAAATGGTACAGGTGCTGCAGAAAAATAGAGCTTGACACTTCCTCAAAATGTTCAGCATAGAATTACTATACAACCCAGCAATTCCACTCCTAAGCATATACCCTAAAGAACTGAAAACAAGAATTCAAAAAGGCACTTTACACTCATGTTCGTGGAGTGTCATTTATAGTAGCCAAAAGTGGAAGCAACCCAGGTGTCCAGCAACAAGTAAGTGGATAAACAACATGTGGTAGATATACACAATGAAATATAGTCTTCAAAAGAAAAGAAATGAAATTTGGATACATGGTGTAACATGGATAAGCCTTGCTGACATTATCCTGCAGTGAATAAGTCAGACATAGGAAGATAGATATTTTATGATTCTATTTACTTGCAGTCCCTGGAACAGACCAATTCATAGAAACAAAAAGGATGGAGGTTATGGTAAGGGAGAAATGGGAAATATAATTTATTGGGTACAGTTTCTATTTGGGGCAATGAAAACACCTAGCAGTGGATAAGGGTGATGATTGCACAAAGCTGTGACTGTTCTTAATGTCAATGAAATGGTTAAAGTGGTTAAACTGGTAACTATTATGTCTATTTTACTCTAGAATAAACAACTTTAAATGACAAAAACATGCATACATAGAAAGATACACAGAAAAACAAAATCAAGGAAAATAGACACCTTACCATCCAGGGTTGTAACCAGAACAACATGAAGACAGATGACAATGAGGGATAATCTGAAGGCTGCTAAAATTTCAAGTCTGCCAGCATGGTCAAACCGTCCACCAAAGAAAAGCATCCTGGAATAAAATAAGGGGAAACCAGGTCAGCCCAGCTTCCAGAGTCCCCACACAGTCACATTCCCAAGGTCAGCCCCATGCAGGTAGGCTGCCATCCCAGTTCTTTTACATTACCATGACTCCTGGGAAACTGCAATGTCAAGTGGGCACCCACTATAAAAAGCAATGCTCATGTTTATGGTGGCATGGCCATTGAGTGGGATTTTATACTTAAAACAAGAAGCAAGATAATCCATGGAATTTATGGCAAACATTGAGAGAAGAAATTAAAAAGAGAAAATGTTACAACCATAATGATTACCAGCATAAAAAAAAAAAAAACTGGATAAAATCTAT